ATGGAGGAACTCAAGCTGCAGCAGGAAGAGTACAATAGGACTGAGAATGAACTACAGTTCTGGGAACAACAGAATGAAGCGTGAGTTTACCATTTAGATTGAAGATTACAGTAGATTTTCATTTCGAGTTTTGTATTGAAGGACTTGAATCTTACGAAACCTACAGTTACAAATCACTTATAGTCGGTTAGTACTATATGCTTGAATACTGAAAGGCTACTCAGTTTTAAGTCGCCTTTACGTATAGTTTTGTCGCTACAAATTTAAGTACAACTTTAAATCGAGTAGCCTTCCAGTATTCGGGCATTAGTAGTTTATTACTCGTTCTTCTCCATAACATCAACATCATCAACAGCCATAAATGCCCACTGCTGAGCAAAGCCTCTTCTCACACGGAGAAGGTTTGGGCATAAGCACACTTGTTCATTGCGGGTTGGCGCTTTCAAACTAACATATTAATAATTAGAAATTATAGGTCCAGGTTTCCTCACTGTTTTCCTTCATTGTTTGTTAGTGGTGTCTTAAATAATCTTAGAAAGTACATATACCTCGGAAAGTCACATTGGTTGGTACTTGCCGTTGGTAGGTTTCGAAACCGCATCCTCGCATGAGAAGCGGTTGTCTTAAACTTCGGGGCCACCACGACACATACGAATAATCTTCTCCGTACGAATTTATATTTTAGATGGAGCACCTAACTTTATTGCTGGACAGACTATGTTTCCAACAGTGCCTGCATGTAGTCTAGTGGTAACAGGTGCTTTGATTAGCTGTCTAATAAATTAATTGTTTATTCTCTTACAGTTGGCGCACCAGATTAACAGCTTTACAAGAATACATAGAAGCGCAGCGAGCTGAAGCAAAGCGAGTGTTAGACACCGCGCGGGAGAAGAGAGTCAATCTTGTTGTCAACAGCATACAACAGTGGAATGAGAAGCTGGCACAGTGATGTAATAAAAATAGGTTAAGTTTTATGTCAGTAATATAATATGACTTTTATTAATTATGTAACTATGTATATGACCTTTACTGTTGGTGATTCAGACCCATGAACCAAATACAAAGTTCAGACCTCTCCGGAAGAGGTTCATATTGAATTTAAATACACATTTCATGATGAATTCCCACAGAAAAAGATGCAGTGCATTTGTAAATAATTATAATTTCATTGTAATAGAATAATTGAGGCGAAATGTATAATTAGGTTTATGATAATAAAATAAAAGCTGTAATTTTACTAACAGTACAGTTTATTATTTCACCTTTCATTAGAGATGACCATTGAAACATTATTTTCTACCGATTCACACATTTGTTTGAATGATTGCTGCGCCCACGCATGTGCGTTAGATATCTTCTTCTTCTGGTTTTCACCTTTCTTTGGAGGAGGTATCGAAGGTTTGAAAGCCATCTCTGAGCCATCGTATGCTTTGAATATTTGTGAGGGCGTC